GTTATATTTTAAGCCATTGCAGAAAAGAGTTACTAGGCCAGATGTGGTGGCTCATACTATAATCCCAGCACTCTGAAAGGCTGAGGCAGAAGGACTACTTGATTCCATGAGTTTGAGACCAACCTGGGAAATAAAGCAAGACCTCATCTATACAAAAAAAAAAAATAGGCAGGTGTGGTAGCACACACCTGTCTCAGCTAGAATTAAAAAGTAATCTTAAAAATAGTTAATAAGCCGGGCTTGGTGGCTCAGCCTGTAATCCCGCGCCTTTGGGAGGCTGAGGTGAGTGGATGGCCTGAGCCCGCAGGTTCGAGAACCGCCTGGGCAACTTGGCGAGACCTCATCTCTACAATAATTCAAAAAATTAGCCGGTTGTGGTAGCGCGCGCCTGTAATTCCAGCTACTCGGAAGGCTGAGCCGGAAGGATCGCCGGAGCCCAGCAGGCGAGGCTGCGGTGGCCGGGAGCGGCCACTGCACTCCAGTCTGGGTGACAGAGTGAGACTCCAACTCAAAAAAAAAAAAAATAGTTAATAGCCGGGCTTGGTGGCTCAAGCTGTAATCCCAGCACTTTGGGAGGCTGAGGCGAGTAGATTGCCTGAGCCCAAGGGTTTGAGATCAGCCCTGGCAACTTGGCGAGACCTCGTCTCTACAATAAATAAAATTAGCTGGACATGGTAGCTTATACCTGTAGTTCCAGCTACTTGGAAGGTTGAGGTGGAAGGATCGCCGGAGACCAGCAGGTTGAGGCTGGGGTGGCTGTGAGCATGCCACTGCACTCCAGCCTGGGCGATGGAATGAGACTCCAACTCAAAAAAATAAAATAAAATAAATAATAGCTAATACGATACAATAAGAGCTAATATAAGATGCTTGCTCTGTGGCGATTCACACACACACACACACACACACACACACACACACATATGTATATATACATATATGCATATATCACCTCTCTTAACTCTCACAGCAATTCTAAGAGAAAGGTACTGTTATATTTATTTTATAGATAAGCATACAGAAAGAGAGTAAGCAGACAAAGATAGAGACATCCTGGAAGGAGAATCGTGGGAATGGAATGCTTCAATGTAGCACTAAGAATTTGGAAAAAGCCAGGCTGGTGGCTCAGCCTGCAATCCCACGCTTTGGGAGGCTGAGGTGAGTGGATTGCCTGAACCCGCGGGTTCAAGACTCGCCCGGTCAACTTGATGAGACCTCATCTCTACAATAAACCAAAAATTAACCAGGCATGGTGGCACGCGCCTGTAGTTCCAGCTACTTGGAAGGCTGAGGCGGAAGGATCGCCGGAGCCCAGCAGGTCGAGGCTGCGGTGGCCGGGAGCGGCCACTGCACTCCAGTCTGGGCGACAGAGTGAGACTCCAACTCAAAAAAAAAGAATTTGGAAAAGAGAAAAACCTCTCATAGTCCATAATTACTGAACTAAGTTTAATCAGCATCTAAAAGGAGAATAAGAAATTGCAACAAAACGGAACTGAATCAGGTATCTGATCACATAACAAGCACAGAACACATTCACACTGAGATGGGTTTAAGTCACTGTGTACACCAAATAACCTTGACCACTTGAAGAAAGATTCAAAGGATTTTTAAGATGTAGGCAAAGCCATCCTTAATAATTGTGAGGAGAATAAAAATGGTGACGTAGGAAAGATAATCCAGACATGGTAGTGATGTGTTCAATCAAATAAACCATGAGAAATACAGTTGTGTTTTGATATCAAACCCTGAAAATAAAAATGTATCACCTCAATATAACACTTCATTTAAATATCATTGGAATCATTCTAATTTTCAGGAATAGACTGTCAGTTTTCATCGCAATGCTTGCTGTCATGTACATCTGTGCAAATTTCACTATAAAAAATTAGGAGAAAATTGATAAATCAGGACATGTTTTTCTAACACAAGGAGGAGACAGAAAGTTATGCTGGGGTCTAAAACAGTTAATTTTGCTTCCCATTTCATAAAATTTCAGAATAAAAACTGTTTTAAAATGTACCAAAGAAACTTTTTAAATAAAAAGTATATGTAGCTGGGTTCAGTGGCTCAGCCTGTAATCCTGCACCTCTGGGAGGCTGAGGTGAGTGGAATGCCTGAGCCCGCGGGTTTGAGACCCGCCTGGGCAACTTGGCGAGACCTCATCTCTACAATAAATCAAAATGAGCCAGGTGTGGTAGCGCACGCCTGTAGTTCCAGCTACTTGGAAGGCTGAGGCGGAAGGATCGCTAGAGCCCAGCAGGTCGAGGCTATGGTTGCCGGGAGCGGCCACTGCACTCCAGTCTGGGTGACAGAGTGAGACTCCAACTAAAAAAAAAAAAGTATATGTAGAATACTGTCACGAACATTATGAAATGGAATATTATAAATCACGCATTTTAAAACAAGTGTTCTAGAGTCTGACTACCTGCTTTGAATCATTGTTCAATCAGCCTGCTAGTTTAGTCCAAGTTCCCTTAGACACATTACTAACCATTTTTCTCAATTTTAAAGAGAGTACTATGAGGACCTACTTCATAACTATGTTGTAAGAATAAAATAAAATAAGCAAAGTGCAGTGGTTCACGCCTGTAATTCCAGCACTTTGGGAGGTGGAAGTGAAAGGATTGTCTGAGCCCATGGGTTTGAGACCAGCCCGGGCAACATGGCAAGACCTTGTCTCTATAGTAAATTTAAAAAATTAGGCCGGGCTCAGTGGCTCAGCCTGTAATCCCAGCACTTTGGGAGACCGAGGCGTGCAGATTGCCTGAGCCCGCGGGTTCGAGACCAGACCAGGCAACTTGGTGAGAACTCATTTCTACAATAAATAAAAAATTAGACGGGTAAGGTAGTGCGTACCTGTAGTTCTGGCTACTTGGAAGGCTGAGGTGGAAGGGTTGCCTGAGCCCAGCAGGTCGAGGCTGCAGTGGCCATGAGTATGCCACTGTACTCCAGCCTGGGCAACAGTGAGCCTCTGACTCAAAAAAAAAAAAAAAAAAAAATTAGCTGGGTGTGGTGGCACACGCCTGTAGTTCCAGCTACTTGGAAGGCTGTGGTGGAAGGATAGCCTGAGCCCAGCAGTTTGAGACTACAGTGGCCATGACCAAGCCACTGCACTCCAGTCTGGGCAACAGTAAGACTCTGACACAAAAACAAGAATAAAATACAATAATACTTGCTAAGTTCTGTTTAGCACATGGTAGGGACTTGACATGTATTAGCTATTCTTTTCATTATATTTCATGATATAAAAATATTTACTACTTATACATGAACTATATTAAAGACAGAAAAAGAAGAACCATTTCCTGAAGACTCCTGAACCCACTAGAAAAAAAGTAATGCCTACTTGACCAGCAATTCCAGTAACATACTTTTAAAAAAACTCTACATATTTGATCTGCATTCTTAAGGAAAATTACCAACCTAGTTGATAGCAATACATACATATACACATGTGGCTTCCTAAAGAAGCACGTGGGTATATTCTAGGTAAAACAAAATATTTGATATATTATTAATTCTGATTTGGTATCCCTGGGTTTTTCCCAATCCAAAGAAATAAGCATAGAGGAACCATAAAAAACCCATAGTTTCAAAACAACACCCACAAACAAACAGACCTGTTAATTCCAAAGCATTGATCTGCAACAGAGACGGGCCACATCTGGGTATGGGCACTCATGCTCCCAGAGCAATTTTTTTTTTTTTTAAACCTTGTATCAGCCGGGTTCAGTGGCCTAGCCTGTAATTCCAGCACTTTAGGAGGCTGAGGCGAATGGACTGCCTGAGCCTGCAGGTTCTATACCAGCCCGGGCAACTTGGCGATACCTCATCTTTACAATACATCAAAAATAAGCCAGGCGTGGTAGCATGCGCCTGTAGTTCTGGCTACTTGGAAGGCTGAGGCAGAAGGATCGCCAGAGCCCAGCAGATCGACAGTGGGGTGACCATGAGCGTGCCAGCCTGGGCGACAGAGTGAGACTCAAAAACAACAACAACAAAAACTCAAAAACAAAACAAAACCAAAACCTTCTACCATGTAGCGTTTCTTTATAAAGTTTTCTTTATTAAGTGGAGCTTATTATGGCAGTACTTAACAGAGCAAATTTAAAAGGCCCTAGCCAGGTGTGGTGGCTCTCAGTGGGTAATCCTCCCAGCACTTTGGGAGGATGAGGTGGGAGGATCGCCGTGAGACCAGGAGTTTGAGACCAGCCTGGGCAACATAGCGGGACCCATCTCTATTTCATTAAATAAATAAATAAATAAATAAATAAAGGCCCAAAGAATGGCATCTGACAAATATCATCACGGGAGGACAACAATCAAGCTTTTAGTTTTCTGTTCTCATACCTCATCATTCTTTCCTCCCTACCTGACACCTCTTTTTCACTTTTCCTCTGCTTTATTTCAATGTTACGATGTACAGTGGACAAAGTTTATACTGCTAAATCCTATGCCTTGAGCTATTTAGAGACGTTATGTTACACTAAAGAAGTAAATAAATTCATTTTTGCCTCGGTGGCCCATGAAACATTTCATCTTGAATGATGTCATCAGACATCATTTATCAGTGTGTCTTCTTTTCTTTTCTTTTTTTGAGTAGGAGGCTCTCTCTGTCAACCAGGCTGGAATACAGTGCCGTGATTATGGTTCACCACAGCCTTGACCTACTGGGCTCAGGCCACCCCAGCATCGACCCTTCCGCCTCAGCTTTCCAAGTAGCCAAAACTACAGGCATGTGCCTCTGCACTCGGCTAATTTTTTGATATATTGTAGAGACGAGGTCTCATCAAGTTGCCCAGGCTGGTCTGGAATCCCTGGACTCAGGCAATCCTCTCGCCTCGGTCTCTCAAAGTGCTGGGATTATAGACTGAGCCACCGTGCCTGGTCATGTCTTACTTTCAAATGTCACACAGGAAATTCATATCTCTTCATTTAGAACATTCATTTATATACATTTCCCTTGAGCTAGAAACATACCGGTTGGGAAGAGTACTTACTTTTGCTCAACATACAGAGGATCAAAGAATTCTGTTGTGATTTTGTTTGCATACAGAGAACAACCGGTCATTGAGCACAACCCTAAAAAGTACCAGAGGGAAAGCACCATGGTTAGCGTTATTTCATTAGCATCGTCAAGTGCCTTGTTTGGAAGAAAGTTACTATTTACCTGACAGTATGAATACAATCCCAGCCAAACAAGCAATTTTAGCTTTGGCTTTATCTGAGCCTCCGACCTTGGTACACTTCATTCCAAAGAGTGCAAATATGGAACCAAAAAAGCCCAGGCTGACAGCAGCAATCATAAGTCCTCTACATGCCTGGATATAACCTGCAATTAGAGTAGGTCATTTACGTTAACATAAAACGTACGGCTGTCCAGCGAGAAATCTTCATTGTAGACTGTCATTCTGGATGATTGTTCTGTTTTCCAATAATAATAATAATAATAATAACCATAATGGTTAAAACACGTGCCTAGGCAAGCAAGAAAGAAAAGCAAGTTAAATTATATGTAGTACCTACTCTGTGTCAATGTCTAAGTTTGGTCTCTATAATCCTCAGGACAGATCACTGAGTGTTGCTACTCCTATATCTGCTAGTCAGGAAACTGAGGCACACAGAGATTCCACAATAGCGCATAGGCGAGTTAGTCTGTGGCAGAATTGGATTCCACCTCAGATTGAACTACCAAATCCATACAACACTGCCTTTCACTGTGAGAAACACCTTCTGCCACGATCATAACTCTCTAATTCCTTTGTTCATTGAACCTTTTAAATGGATGTTTTAATGGCTTTGACATCATAAAATTATAAAATTTATAATGGGGCAGCAGGAGGTTCCAAAGAGTCAAACCTTCCAATATTAGTGAAAGTTTATCAGTGAGACCACATGGAACACCATCACGACCCGTGAGAAATCGAAATCAAGAATTTTAGTGACGCAGTATTAGTTTCAGGACACATATAATAAAACGGGGTTAAAAAACCACTGTTTTATGAAAGAGTAATTTATAATGTATAATGATTAAATCAACTGTTTGCCTATAAATGCCTTCAAAGTACCCTAAAAAGCATGTTCTGTCAGTTTATTTGATCATTCTTCCTGCACAACTTTTATCTTTATTTGTACAGGCAGTGTGATGGCAAACTTCAGTGTGACTTTTCCACAAGTATTTTTAAATTAAAAGGGTTCAAACTAATAAACTTTTTACCGTACAAGTCATTTTCATTTCAGTCTGAAACAGTGCCATATTTCAATCTGAGATAGTGGCAGTAAGTAGCACATACAAGGTGTAAGTAAATATTTGCCAGGCAAATGAACATACACCCACATCGGGTTTTCATTTGGAATTAAATTTATTAATTGGGAAAAACTCACACAGGCTAAGATTTACCAAGCCATTTATTATTAGTGTTCAGGCAAAGCCTATAACAGGTAATCATTCTAAGACCATGATCTCCATAAACTTAGGGAGTAAAGGCTGGTGGCCTCTAGTCCATGTTACTTTGGCAAAGAATGAAATTGAAGTTTTGGCCGGGCTTGGTGGCTCAGCCTGTAATCCCAGTACTTTGGGAGGCCGAGGTGAGTGGATTGCCTAAATCCATGGGTTCCTGACCAGCCTGGGCAACTTGGTGAGAACTCATCTCTACAATAAATCAAAAATTAGCCAGCACAGGCCTGTAATTCCAGCTATTGGAAGTCTGAGGCAGAAGAATCGCTGGAGCCTAGCAGGTAGATGCCACTGCATTCCAGCCTGGGTGATGGAGTGAGACTCCAACTCAAAAAAAAAATTGAAGTTTTAATCCTATTTCCTGAATCCATTTTTGAAGAGTAAATGGGAGCGGCTCTGCTTAATTGTAAACACACGTTAGACCCCACAGATGCAGACTGTAAGGAAAATGATCGTCTATTGTGTATCTTCTACATTAAAAATAATTTCGCTGATGCTGTAACTATCAAAAACAGCAAGAGAAATGTAGTTGTTAGCGAAGCAGGATAACATAGACTTCTTTTGATAGCAATAATCGTGCTGCAGGGACATTTGGGTCTCTGCTGTCAAATACTGAACTGGTTCTATTTTAAACGTCAACCCTCAAGTTCCCCAACCAGAGCCCAGGGGTCTGGGAAAGGCAAGACAGAGAGAGAGCAAGAGCCTGTCAGTGCCTTGCAAGACTAAAGAGTCTGTGAGGATAACTCAAACTGCCTCATCACTTACCAATAGAGCAACTGGGACAGTGTGGTTATTTTTGTGAAATTCATATAATCTATGGTTTTGAGGTTTTTCAACTGACTCTGACTGCAATCATTAAACAAACAAAAAGTAGGGGGATGCAGCCTCATATATACATAGGTATATATTACATACATAAATGTAAAAGAACATATATACATTCACACATATATATTCCAAGAAAATGTTAGCAAGCACCATAATTTGCATTTACTTCTGTTACCCTACAGGCTTTATTAATAGAAAATGCAGGTTGTCTGGAATTTACCAAAGGTTATGTCCCTTAATCTGGTCATTTAGAACACGGAATGCACTTCCCGGAGGGTAAACAGTGGGTAGAATCCCAGGCCAACACATTCGATCCTTAGTATGGCAGGGAAAATAACAGCAGTCTTTAAATTTGATGTGACCACTACTTGCAACATTTTTCCTGAGCTTCTCAAGCTGAGATCTCTCACCTCAGCCCTCGTCCTGCTTTGGTCTCCTGGCACAAGCGCAAGGCGAGAGATGGAGCGAGCAGGTTCTGATCTGGTCAGATTCTTCTTTCATGTCAGCCAGTACCGGGATTTGGAAGGCGAGGTGCCTCTCTCCAGCATGAGGAGAGTAGCAATAACTTGCTAATTTTTCTCATGTGCAAAAGAAGGCAACTTACAAAGACAATCAGTGACCAGATTTTCTCAAATGGGGAGCAAAGAACTGTGGAGAAACTCCCTCGCCAGCTACGAATGTAACTGAGTGGTTGGAAAGTCTGAAGTTTGTAAATTAGGGGTTACAGGTCCTTAGAACACCCATATATCAGGCCTTAGATGACGTCCAACAACCTCTTTCAGAGTTTATCTTTTGCAAGACAGATCTCTACAACCTGGCTTTTTTAACAGTTCCTGAGGGCAAAACTTATAAGTGACACCATCAAGTGAAGTGGTAGTAAAAACCTAGTCAAGGAGGCCATTATTTTTGACAGGTTTAATTTACTGACACCGTTAATAGCTAATTAACACATTAAAGTGCTGAGGCATGAACATATTTACTTAGAAGTTCTCCAAGGTATAATTTATAGTTAGTTCTCCAGGGAGAAATGGCAAATTCCCACTAGCAAAAAATAGATGGCCTATACCAAAAACAACCTGGCTGAAAATAATTCTCAGCTGAAGTTCTAGTGAGGCTTTGAAAAAAATGCAGGTTAGCAACAAACAGAAATTACTAGCTCATTCAGCCGTGAAATTTTCAAGCAGTAAAATACAGCGACTTGAAATTACTGAATTCTGTTGGAGGAAATCTTCAAGGTGTTCCTTCAAAGTTAAGTGTTTTCCAATTGACATGTACTTTATTTTCAACTGCAAACCAGCAACAATGAAAATATCCACTTGGTGGAGACAATTCACTAATAGTACCTGTGCTAGACACTGGATTTAGGGGGGAAAAAGAATGTGCTTTTCATATACTGGTAGCTTTATGTGCTTTTGCTAATCCTTTGAGAGAAAAGTGGTATGGGGGAGGGCAGGAACTCTGAATTTCAGCTCTGGTGTTTCCATTTTATCTGAGGTGTGCCCTTGATTACATTACCTAATCTCTCTGGGACTCAGTTTCTTTACCTGTGAAACAGGGACAGCAGCACCTACTTCACAGGATTTTTGTTGTTGTTTTGTTTGTTTGTTTGTTGAGTTGGGGATCTTACTGTCACCCAGACTGGAGTGCAGTGGCACAATCATAGTCACCGTAGCCTCGACCTCCTGGGTTCAGGCAATCCTTCTGCCTCAGCCTCCCAAGTAGCCGGGACTATAGGCACACGCCTCCATGCCTGGCTAATTTTTTTTAGTTTTGCTGAGATGAGGTCTCACTATATTGCTGGTCTTGAACTCCTGGAGGGCTCAAGCAATCCTCCTGCCATGGCCTCCCAAAATGCTGGGATTACAGGTGTGAGCCAATGTGCCCAGCCCTTCATAGGATGAATCATATAAACAAGGTATCTGATGAGTAGTAAGAAACTCATCAAAGCATCCCTTCCACAAAACCACAATGGATTCTAAGCAGAAATTAGAGTTGGATTCTTAACATGGCATAATTTTACATCTAGACATTTAGCTTTGCTAGGCCTATTCTCTTTATAGGGAAAACATGCGGCAGTGATACCCTGAGGGTGAGGAATCGGAGATTTGACCTCAGATCAGAAATTCAGAATAATGATCCTATCATCTGCAGCCAAGAGACTTGTTCTTCCACCTAACACAATGCGGATGAGAGTCACAGTCCTCTCCTTTCTTAGATTCTCTTCCCAAACTAGAGCTGGTTTCAGTGGCGGATTGGTCTGCTCAGGTCTGCGACCACCATGGCCACTTTCCTTCGCCACTTCAAAGCCAATGTCGGGACCAGCACCCACCAGAGGACAGATGCTATCGTGAGAATATTCAGGGCAGAGAGTAGACAAGCAGAGGGGACCTGCTCTGGAAAGTTCCACTCACAAGTGGGGACATCAATTCCCCTCCACAGGAAAATGTAGTTGCATGACTTAACCTTCCCAAATGTTACTCTGAGAGACACAGAAAAGTAAGTTATTGTTTTTGGTAGAGAATGCCCTCTTAAGCCACAAAAGGCAAAATCATCAAGGACGAGACTAAATTTGATTATACTACAAATTTCAAAGTTCTGTATGAGAAAAGACATCATAAGTTTAAAAGACAAGTAATAGTCTGAGATTGCAACATATATAACAAATCAAGGATTGACAAATCATTTAAACCAAGAAGAAACAACAGAACAACGGGCATAAAAAATGGAAAGTCAATTCACAGAAAAGAACAACAACAAACAGATCAGTAAACACTTTATAAAATGGATTTTGACTCTTTTTTTTGCTAGTGATTTTGACATTGGTAATCAGGGAAATGCCAATTAAAATCATAACAAGATAATATCTGGCAGAGTACTGGATGAAAAACTTAGTGGTGAGAATGTGGGGAAGCAGGTATTCTCACTGTTGGTGGAAAGTAATTTAGCAGTATACGCTGAATACTAAAATGTATGCATACTCTACTGCTCTGACGATACCATTTCTCAGGGGAGGAGTCTAACGAAATACACACTTGCACAAAGAGGTG